TCGCGACACATTAGGTAAGCAGCGTGTCCCTTTGCTCATACCACCACCTGAGTTGAGTAGCCACCGTCCGGCATGCCGAGTGATTTGGACAGGTGGGTCGCCCGCAGCCGTGCACGGCGTAGCGCTGCTGACTTTGTCGGATCTGTGCTCGTCTGCCCCACTCACCGCGGCCCAATCGCCCACCCGCCCCGCCGGTCCTTGGTGTTTACAGGCAGATCGAGCAGCTGAATCGATGTGAGCCCATTTCGGAAGAAGAGGTCAAGAGGCTGTGCATAAAGGCACGCGAAATATTAATCGAAGAGGCGAACGTACAGGTCGTCGACTCGCCCGTGACAGTGCGTGCTTTCGTTTCGTGACCGCCCGGATGACCCGGTAACGTTACAGTGATATGCGGCGGCTCAGATATGCGGAGACATCCATGGGCAGTTCTGGGACATGATGGAGCTTTTCAAGGTCGGCGGTTCGTGTCCGGAGACAAATTACTTGTTCATGGGTGCGTGGGCTCCGTCACATCGCGCGACCTTTTCATGAGCACGCAATTAATTCCCCGGACATGCGCCGCAGGCGATTTCGTGGACAGGGGGTTCTACAGCGTCGAAACGTTCCTCCTCCTTCTCGCGTTGAAGGTGCGGTATCCCGAACGGATCACGTTAATCCGAGGAAACCATGAGTCGCGTCAAATCACCCAAGTTTACGGATTTTACGACGAATGTCAGCGAAAATACGGCAGTAGCAATGTGTGGCGATGGTGCTGCGAAGTGTTCGACTACCTCGCCCTGGGCGCCATCGTCGACGGCCGGGTGTTTTGTGTGCACGGTGGCCTCAGCCCAATTCTGCAGGGCATCGACCAGGTGGGAGTTGCACGAGTCCCCTCTCACCCCGCCTTCTCATGCGCAGTCCCATGGGACGCATAGATTCGGGCCATCGACCGCAAGCAAGAGGTGCCGCATGATGGCCCAATGTGCGACTTGCTCTGGTCGGATCCTGACGGTGAGTCTTTACCCGTCGCCTGGGACGACGAATGTGCGCCGCGGAATTTTTCGCTGATATGCCGTCCCGGCGGTGAAGATATCACTGGCTGGGGCCTATCTCCCCGCGGTGCAGGCTTCCTCTTCGGCGCGGACATCACCAAGGCGTTCGCCCACCATAACGCCATCGACTTGATCGCTCGGGCGCACCAGCTTGCCATGGAGGGATACAAGCTGATGTTCGACAAGACCATTGTGACAGTGTGGAGTGCGCCAAACTACTGTTATCGGTGAGTTCCGCTTCACCGAATGCCAATTAAGGTCTATCACCGTCTTCCGTAATTGCTGGCCTTTCCGGCCACGGGCTATTACGTTCAGCGTTTCTCTCGTGTTCTGCGGCGGTCCGGTCTCACACCACCCTCCCTATTCCCAGGTGCGGGAACGTGGCTTCCATCTTGGAGCTCGACGACAACCTCGGCCAGGAATACAAGGTTTTCGGACACGCGCCATCGGTGAGTGGTGATGGCCTCTCGTGTTTTTTTTTCAGCTTCCCTTCCTGCGGTGGCATTTCCGCTTTCTTGGCGCTCTTCGACGCCGCGGCTAGCTTCGAGTCTTCTCGGGCGTATTCTCATGTCAATCTAGACTGTTCGACGCGCTCTGAGCAAACGGCTAACCCTTTTGGCTCCTCAGGATGTACGCACAATACCTGCAAAGCGGCCTCCTGCGGATTATTTCCTCTAGTGGTATGGACCACCAATGACGCATCATTCACTGGTACAGAAGCTGCGCCGCATCTCCTGCGCCCTATTGATTGATCCCCAGCACCTGGAAACCGAGGAAGGTCCTGATAAACGCGATAAAAGTTGTATCGTACGGTGTTCTGCCATAGCGCTAATTCCCTTTTCATTCCGGCGTGTCGGAGAACTGATTCATTGCAAGCGCACGTCTACATGACATTGATACAACGCGACCGATATAGAATGTATATGCGAGTAGTAGGGCATCGGAAATGCATGTCGTGGTATGGTAGCGGTAGAAAAACAAGTGTTGGCACAAAAATGCGGCTACAAACATGCGCGCTAACGACACATAATCTAATCGTAACATTCATGCAATGGAACAATGTCCGCTTAAGTCTTACTCTTGGTCGTGGTCTTGCTAAACAGCTTCGCCTTCTCAAGCGCGGCGTAACCTGTATTATAGCGTCAATCAGCCAATTTGTCCCACACATTGATGTTAGCGAGCAAGTGTCAATGAAAATACGCACTGTGCTTGACTAAAAGGTTCTTGTAGTCCACAATGGTGATATCTTCTTTCGTCAGATTCTTAATCTTGCGGCTTTTCACTTCCCACAGTTCGTCGGCGACTTGGGAAATTAAACCTGTTCGGGAAACAGATGTGAGCAGGAGAGAATTCCATGCGTGTGGAGAAACGGATCCGTACGGAAGTCGTGAGACACAATCACTACACCCCCCTCAAACTCTTTAATCGCCCGTGCCAAGGCATCGATCGAGGCCATGTCCAAGTGGTTCGTCGGCTCGTCAAGCAACAGGATATGTGGGTGCTCCATGGCAAGCTGGGCAAACACAACACTGCGGGAGGTGTGTCAGAAGCGGCCCCCGACAAGTAACTCGTATTACTCACCGATTCCGCAGACCGTCTGATAACTGCTTGATCGGCGAAGTTTGGTGTGAGCCCGAGAGACCGAAACGACCTAATTGCGCACGCCATGCCTATGTAAGACGATATGAGCGTCGTGACGCGTCTACCTCACTAGTGAAACAAACCTGGAGATCCTTGTCCGGATACTTCTCTGCATACAGGGACTGGAAGTGTTCTATTGGCGCCTTTTGGTACGGGAGCTGATCCGCAGAATGTTGAGAGTATTTGGCGAGTTTGAGGTTTACGTGTCGCGAGACTGTTCCTTCGCAGGGCTGCAGAGCACCGGTAATGAGGTTCAGAAGCGTCGATTTTCCTGTACCGTTCTGGCCGACGATAGCCACCCGCGACTCCATACTAAAACATGACGGTAAGCACGTCGTGCCCACAAAACAACAAAACTCTCGTACTCGATACCGAACGACAGGTTCTGATACAAATAATCTTCTTTCCTCCCAGAATACGAAAACGCGACATCGTTGAAGGCAAGGATGGGAGGGGGAAGCTTTGATATATCCTCAAAGTTGAAGCGTAAAGGCCTGGGCACCTCGATCTTCTCAATCAGACCGGCAGCCTCCATCTTGTCGATGATCTTCTGCTTAGATTTCGCTTGCTTGACCAAGTTCGCGTATGTTCCCGCCGATGCGATAAATCTAGGGATGGAAAGGACGGCGTCGATGAATAATCGATAAACCAAAGAGATTGGCAGGGACGCACTTCTTGATGTGCGCGATTTCATCTTGCTGCTTCTGGTACGCCTTCATCTGGTTGACTTCGTTTTCCTGTTTTGTTCGCACGTAGGTGGAGTAATTTCCACCATAGTAGACGAGCTTTTTCTTCATCGTCAGATCCATGATATTCGTGCACACAGTGTCCATGAAATCCTGCGAGTGCGACGTGATCACCAGGATGTGATTGTACATAGACAAGTACGCCTCCAGCCACACAACGGCCTCGAGATCAAGATGGTTAGTCGGCTCATCCAACAGCAGCAGGTGGGGCTTAACGAAAAGTGCACGAGCAAGGGCGACGCGCATTCGCCAGCCACCACTCATATCCTTCGTGGGGCGCTGCATCATCTGTTGGCTAAATCCAAGACCATGCAAGATACTGCCGGCTTTGGCCTCGAACGTGTTTGGATCCATTTCCTCCAGCTCTTCGTATGTCGCTTCAAGGGCAGCCTCATCAATTTCGTCAGCGACAGAGAGATCCTCGATTCGCTGCTCAAGCCGAGCGACCTTCTCCTTAGCAGATTTGACAATGTAGTCGACGGCGTTCACATCCGAAGGTTCTGCCTCGCCTCGGACAAGGTAAATATCAATGTGATCAGGAATCTCGATGTCTCGTTCAGCAATTGATTGCAAGAATGTTGACTTGGAAGGGGTGTGTAATTAGCTTGTTGGAGGCAGGCATTAAAAAGTGAAGTTACGCACCTTTCCCGAACCGTTATCTCCCAGCAAGCCGTACCGTTGACCATAGTTCAGCGACACCTCCGCACCTTCGATGAGCAGACGTCCGTGGAATGACAGGGTGTAAGAATCGAACTTGATGTCGCGGCCCTTGGGATCGGAAACGAGCACGCCTGCCGCACTCCTATGGTACATAATCAAGCGATGAGCGGTCCGGAGACAGATCGCGCAGGATAGGGCAGCTCACCGGTCCGTTGCAAGTTGCAGCTTCGCCATCGATGTGAGGTCTTCCTGGCTGGTTGCTGCCGACAAGCTGGTCAGAGGGGTGGACACAGAGCTGCCATTAACGGAGCCTGAGGGTGTGGTCGTCGAGGTGGACGCATCAGTTCCAAATTTTCCTTTGGCTGCCTGCTTTGCAGCCTTTTCTGCAAGGCGCTTTTGTTTTGAAGCAGAGGGGGGCATCGTCGCGGTAGGAGTGAAAGAGCGAGGCAGATCTTGCGGCTCGCGTCCTGCAGTATCGATCCGGTGGCGCGGCCTCAAATTTCCGCTTAGCTGAGCCTGAATCCCATACGAGGCAATTCTCATTCAAAGAAATTCATGCATACATATGTCATATAAAAAGCATGATTATCCGTCTGTACATCATTCGAATATAGCTACAGTGGAGAGTGTGGTAGAAAGTCAACGAGATATCGCAACCAGTGTTGCATAGGCTCCCAATCGGCTGTGGGCCGTTGGTGAAAGCGTGCGGGCTCATGTTTTGCATTGCAACCCTGACAAACGATGTCCCTGTTTTCTCCCCCAAAGCGACCTCTACCCTAGAACAGCCGGACGGGCTTGCCCATCGTGGTCTTAATGTGCAGTGACTTGACGTTCTGCCAGTTCTTCTTGAGCAAACTCACAAGGAAGTTGATGCCTTGAGAAAAAAATGAATAATGTCTCTCGGAAGGTTCTCACGGATAACATACTCAGCATGACATTTCCGAGCACTTGGTCGTCAGTCATTGAGATGTGGCCTACGGCAACGCCGAGACATAGGACCTTCTTCAGCTGGAACTTGATCGTGGAGCGAACCTCGGTGAGCTTGTTGGAAAGGTCCTCTGCGTGGGACACCGGTGTAGGGAATTTCCCAGCTGCAATTGAGCCGCTATCTAAACAATGCCCTCGAGAATCGCCCGAAGTGACGCACCCTTCGAGAGACCGGGGCCGAGCAGACGAGGAATCTGCTTGATCAAGGTCTCAGAGGCAAGGAAAGCATCGTACTTCTTCGCCAGCTTCTTGACTAGCTTCTTATTTTTGTTGAGCCTTTCAATCGGGGTAAGGATGTCAGCGTTTCGAACGTGAGCCTTGAAAGACGTACACACTTTTTCAAGTCATCAACACTCATGTACTCCAAATCAATCTGTTTTGCACGATCGATGTCTGCGGCGTCAGCGAGAATGCAGATGGACATGCGGGGACGAGGGACATTCGGGAGCCTGACGATCTACGAATTAGTGCACGAAAGCGGTACAGCAAAAGTCTACATACTTGACTGTGCCAGAGAAACGCTTGTCACGCTGAGGGTCGTAGTTCTTCAAACCAATCTGCAACTCGATTGTCTCAACGAAGTTGCGCTTTTTATCGCCGTTGGCCTCGGCGAGGAGCTCCTTCACAGAGCCTCGAACGCTAGATACCACGAGTTTGGAACCGCTATAGCAGCATCGTATCAATAGTTACCGAGTACAGCAGGAAGATAATTCACCTCATTTTGTTGTTGCCGCACGCTTATAGCCCAAGTTAGAGTGTGAGTGAGTTACAATCCTCGAAAGTTACGTCGATAGGCCGGACGCGCCATCCGGCAGCTGCCGAAGAGCTATACAGTTGCAGTTATTATATCATTTTCTGCCTGTTTCGTCACCTTGTACGTCTTATGTAAGACTCGATGACTTACCTATGATCTCCTTCACCGTAGATTCTAATTCGCAGTTTCGTGCTTTCATCGTCTGATTTGGTCTAGTTGACGCGGATTTCATGCATGGATTGCATGAACATCCATTCTCTCAGCTTCCGTTTGGTCTGCACCATTCGCATACATTTGTCATCGTGATCTACGCCGAACGGGGCTACTCTCGGAAGTGCAACTCAGATTTAATAACGAGGAAAGTGCGTTAAGCTTCATTTTCTTCCTTCTCTTGTAAGAAGAAATACTCGGTGCCATAAAGTGCCGATGATGCCAATGTGGATCCCACTAGAAAGAGAGGGACCACGTGTCGCGGAGCAGTCAAGGATTTGCGCATATTAACAAACAGGTAAGTGAGGGACCACGCTAGTTGTGCTGTCAGTAGATTCTGAAATTCAAGATACTTTGGAAATATACCCGTGCTTATCCCACTGCCGTTTCGAGCATCTCCACAGGCGAGAACATATCCTGCCCCGGAGAAGATTGCTCCGAATCCTAGTCGAAACATCAACGGTGGTAAGAGAGGATTCGGTGGAACGACGGAGGATGCGAAGACTATTCAGTTGTCAGAGGGAATAGTTGGTCGTATATAAACAATTAGGCAGCTCACATATTCCTGCTACGCTCCATATGGGTGCACTGCCGAATGTTCAAGCTGATCAACAAAGTAGGTGAGGTTACACGGACACTCACGGAGAATGAGAATAGGATCGGATCAGAGATACAAGTTGGCTTGATGAGCTGGTCATATTGAGGGATGTGTTTCCAGACATAATCGAGTGTTGAATTACATTGAATGGCACAGACAATTGTCGGGAATTCACAGCGGAGATATTGCAGTGACGCCCATTTAATCCGAACTTGGAAATCACGGCTCAACTCGTCATGAGCAGTCTTAGGACCTGCCCGTCGCCTCGCACATCCTCCCCACATTCAATCCACGCCTTCCTCGTCGTGTTCATGCGTCCATGTCATCGCCTAAGTCTAACGGTCTCGACGAGAAACAGTCCGACACGCTGGCGACAGGCTCGGAAGGCGCTGTGAGTGATGTAGGAGACGATGACCCCAATATCAGCAGTCCCGAATCGAATAGCTCAAGTATTGACGCGGACGCGAGGCAAGATGCTGAAAAGGTACCTGCACTTCAGGGCATCCGACCAGACGGTAAGGAGGCATCAGAAGACGGAGACAGCGAGGGCAGTTTTGATGAGGACGAGGATGATTCCGAAGACGAGGACGACGACGAGCCAGCGCTCAAGTACGAGCGTTTAGGCGGAATTACACAAAGTCTTCTACAAAAGGGCTCTATATCTGTCCTGGCTCATGCGAACCAACGACTAGTTCGTACCTTTGCGTTATTCTTCTCCTTCCACGTTGTAATTCCTCTCCAGGCCTTGGGTACGCACGACGGCATGCTTCATGTACTCGACCTGTCCGGTACCCATGTGAAGTCGTTTGAGGCGCACAGTGCGTACGTGACAGATATTTCTATGGACCTCAGCGCCGAGTGGATAGCTACGACGTCGATAGACGGTGAGACCTCTGTTATTTATGTTGATTCGTTCGTCAGGGTGGCTTCGATCGCTACATCTCGAATCTCAGACGAGTTCCCTCGTACGATGCTCTTACTTACTTGACATATATATCAGGTCAAGTTGTCATACATTCGGTCTCTACTTCTGAATCTCAGACTTTCAGAGCAAAACGCTCTCTCCGCTCAGTTGCTCTCGAACCGAATTTTGCCAAGAGTGGTACTCGGTCGGTTGTCTATGGCGGAATGGAGGGGTCGTTGGTTTTGCAAGAAAAGGGATGGCTGGGATACAAAGAGACCGTTCTGCACTCCAACGAAGGCCCTGTATGGAAGGTGCGATGGCGAGGTAGGTTGATCGCATGGGCGAACGACTTGGTATGCAACCATGGAGTGTAAAGCGGGCTTGCTCACTAATTGTTTTTGATGTACAGGGCGTGAAGATTTACGATACCGTCTCGCAGACGCGCATTACCTTCATTGATAGGCCTGCAGATAGCCCACGAGCAGACTTATTTGGATGCACTCTGCATTGGCAAGACGACTCTACTCTACTCGTCGCCTGGGCAGACCAAATCAAGGTTGCGCGCATCCGGGCACGACCGAGGACTGTCACCACGTCGTCTTCCGCCAATTTGCCACCGTATCTGGTTGAGGTCACAGCTGTCTTCCAGTTAGATTGTATGGTCGCCGGAATAGTCCCACACCCTTTGACGTCTTCACCACCAACATTAATTCCTAGCTCTGCAAGTGTCACCTCTACGCCCTCGTCTCATCAAACGACAGAGGCGATGGCCCCATCTACGATGCAAACAGCACCACCGCCTCCGCTTACAGCATTTTTACTTTTAGCATACTCGCCTCCGGACACGTCCCTACTTACAGGCAATGAAGCTACATCAAACCGTGACGAGCAGGCTCGCAAGGCTGCTGAACGTCCAGAGCTTCGAATCGTTTCACGTGGCGGTGAAGAGTTGGCCTCGGATGCGCTAGGCATTTCCAACTACGAGCGATGGGGTTGCAACGACTATCATCTTGTAGAGGTAGAGGCAGGAGCTGTGACAGGAGGTGCGGATAACAGATACTATATCGTGGTCAGCCCGAAGGATGTGGTAGTGGTGAAGCCGCGGGATTGGAGGGATCATGTTGCGTGGCTAGTCGAGCGGAAGAGGTATGAGGAAGCGTTGGACGAGATCGAACGACAGGCTGGGATGGGTATCGCAGGCGGTCCCGGTGAAGAAGCCGTAGATGCGGTCGACATTGGACAACGGTATATCGAGCATTTGGTCAGCGAAGGTACACATACCCCATTCGTTTCTTGATCTGCGCATGTGGCTTAGAATTTGTTAGGCGAGTTTATCAAGGCAGCACGTCTATGTCCGAAAGTCTGTGGACAAGACGTGAAGCGATGGGAGGACTGGATCTTCTTCTTTGCCCAGAAGCTCCAACTGCAGGTACGCCTGGTAACAATCACTATTTCCTCCATTGACAATGACTTCGAATCAGGCTATAATCCCCTACGTACCTACTGATGCTCCCACTTTGGGCCATTTGGTCTATGAGATGATTATGGCCTATTATCTGGCAAATGATCGACAGGTTCGTACTATCTGTTCAAGTCAAGTCTGGAGCTCGCCAATATGTGAATAATTGTAGATGCTGCTTCAAACAATCAAGAGCTGGCCCAAGGGTATATATGACATTTCCGCTGTCATTGTTGCGGTGCAAGCGGAGCTCGATCGTTCCCCGTCGTCCTCCTCTGCGAGAACCACTTCGTCGGAGACAGTGTTACTCATGGAATCACTGGCAGAGCTGTGAGAATTCATATTGGTCTCATTCCTTACATCCCCTAATGAAATACATCAGCTACACCAATAACCGTCAGCCCGGAAAGGCCCTGCCTTTCTTCCTCCGTCTGCGGCGTCCAAATGTCTTCGACCTCATTCGGGAAAATAACCTCTTCACTGCGGTTCAAGATCAAGTCCTTCTGCTGGTCGAATTCGATCATGAACTCATGGAGATACGCAAGAAGGGTGGCGAAGATGTCGACTTTGACCATAACAGCACCGCTATCATACTTCTCGTGGATCACATCCACTCGATTCCCGTTAGTTTCTATCTGTTGTCTCGCTCAAGACTACTCACCTCAGGGCTGTAGATAGGGCGTGTTGTGCAACAGCTCCAAAGCCGTCCCTACTATCTTTACATGTACCTCGACGCCCTCTTTCATAAGGATCCTCAGCTCACTTCGGACTTCGCAGACGTTCAGGTTCGTTTGCGATCTTGTTTTTTCTTCTCGGCATTGTTCATCTTCTTCAGGTCAAACTGTATGCCGAGTATGCTTCTGACCACTTGATCGACTTCTTGAGAGCAAGCAATTACTATAGCTTGGAGGAGGTGATGACATTTCTGCGCGTATGATCTGCGGCTGACGGACCAGGCTTATTCCTAGGCATACAACATTTGTAACGATCGAGATATGGTCCCTGAGATGGTATTCCTTCTAGGCCGAATGGGGAACAACAAGAAGGCTCTTACCCTCATCATTGAACGCATGGGAGATGTCAATCGAGTAGGTCGTTGTCTATCCTGCTGTGAGATATTAACTGAAGGTATCGCCATCCAGGCTATTGACTTCGCGAAGGGGCAACATGATGATGACTTATGGGAAGATCTGCTCAGATATTCGGAAACTCGCCCATGTAAGTCTTTCTTTGGTTGTTCGTGCCACGCTACCAACCGCTTTTCGGTTTAGCGTTCATCCGAGGCCTTCTTGAGAATGTCGGAGCCGAGATTGACCCAATCAGGTTGATCAGACGCATCAAGAACGGGCTGGAAATACCTGGTCTCAAGGGTGCCCTGATAAAGATTCTCCATGACTTTAATCTCCAGACATCGCTCCTTGAAGGGTGTCAGATGATTCTCGACGGAGACTGTGCTGAACTTGCACGTCATCTGCATCGGAATCAAACAACGGGCTTTTTTATAAGTTGTGAGTTTGTTTCCACCTTCGCGAAGTCATTGATAGACATGATCACTTATACCCTATTAGCTCAGACATTATGTCCCGTATGCAGTCTTCCCTTACAACAGTACCCGCACGACTTTATGTTGCTCTATATGTGCCGACACGTAGTTCATTTACATTGTGTTCCTAACGATGGTCCCACAAGTCAATTGGATTATCGTTCGATAGGTTTAGATGTCGGGAACCATCAAGGTATAGGAGGGAAAATTGCGCTGTGAGTACTATCGCGGCGTCTGTGAACCACTGACTGAGCTTCATCATAGCACTGCTCTGATTAGAGCCAAGGTTCCACGCGGATGTCCTGTGTGCCGGAAACAGAGAGCATGACGGCGGCGTAGTCGTTGCACCATTCACTTCCTGTCGCGTGCCGAAGTTTACCGTTTCAACAGAGGAGATGACGTAGCGTCCTGTTCCAATGAGAATAGTGACTCGAGTGCCTCGTCGTTGGAATACCTCTAACTCGATCCAGCTTTACTATGAGTAGGGACCAACACACTGTCTTATTCATATGGATACCCTTGAATATATATACTCGGATCTTTACGGGCACATGAGAGCACTCGTGGCATTCACTTCGACCGCCTTCATTACGCTCATGCTATGTGAAGCCCTCATGAGTAAGCATACATTCATGGAACCATGCACTACGTGTCATGTCAGCTTCTCTCATCCTGAAAGTGTGGAAGTAATAGTTGGCCCACATGATATTTAGAAATGCTAAAGCGACAGTGGCTGAAGAAATGCCGAACTGCTCCTCAATGCATGTCGCACCTAACTTCATAAATTTGATAGTCTCGATGGCACTGAACATGAAGATCACGATAGGTAAACAGGCGCCGTCAAGGGAGCATGTAAGGACGGCCGATTAGAGCCTCCAACATGTACATATATCACCAGTTTCAAGTCGAAATGTGAAGGATCCCACTCGCGACCGTTGTACGCGCCGTGTCACGCAAATAACATAGATGATGATGATTGATGGTAATATCACTGAGACGAGACTACCGCTACAATGGAATGAATGTAGGGAGACACCGAAGCTACGAAGGATCAAGTCAGTGAATGGTCAAGAGACACGGACAGTGAATGATCAAATCAGAAGTGTATAATGATTCCGGATAGACTATTTCCTCACAATTAAGATCGGTAGAGGGAGTCTATTTGTCATCTCGAGAACGACTGAGACTTGAACTCACTTTTAGCGGTTCTTGAAGTAGTCCAAAAGGACGTGAAGACCCTCGCTCTCTGTACCATAATCCTTGACAACGACACAAGAGCAGCCCACGACCTTGCGCGGGTTGCCCTCGCGATCAATTTTGCAGAGGCCCGCCCAAGTACCGAGAACCTTCGCATCCCCGACTTTGATGAGGTTGATCTTGTGCTCGGCGCAGAGAGCTTCAATAAGCTTGATGTACTCGGCTTCCGTGCAGGTCTCGACGAGGACGCAAAGGTGCGCCTGGCGCTTGTCAAGAGCCTTGGCACACTCACGAAGACCACGGGCAAGACCATCGTGGACAAGGGCATTCTTCAGAACTTGCTAATACGTGGAGATTATTCTTCAGTATACGTGTGGGAGGGGCTTTTCATAAACATACCTGAAGTGCCTCTTCCACCGAAAGCTTTCCCTTGGGAGCCTCAGCGGGAGCCTCGACCTCGACGGTGGTCTCGTCGACCTGAATTTCATCTCCAGCGTCAGACATCCTGCCATGCATGTACGATGAGCTAGGTAGTTGAGATACAGTGGAAGAAAACACAGACTTTTGTTATTTAGGTTTCCGAGGGATCCGATGTCTTCGTCCGCTTTCGTTGATGCTAAGGAAAAATTGAGTTCGCAGTGGCGAAGCTATTTCAAGGATTCAGGCCCCGCACGGTAGTTGCCGAGGTGCTGAGATCTCAGCATTCGCGATCGGCGAGTCCGAACGCCCTCGCAGCCTACGAGCCGCCCTTTGCTCTGCTCCACGATAGACCCTTGCATACGATAGATCTGTTGACATGGTTAGAGAAACAGGACAACGTTTTGAAGCTGTCGTACTCATGTTTCCGTAGAGTTTGGTGTTCCTGCACGCACATGACGGTAGCGAAAGTACGCGCCCTTCTAACTTTGGACGCGCGGTATGGCAGTAACTGTATTTTCGTTGCACAGCTCATTCAGACGCGATATGGGGAGTAGCATGGACGCAAGCGGACACGGTTTTGAGCGTAGGAGCTGACGGTTCCATCAAGCAATGGGATTCAACATCTGGCCAAATGTCTCGGACACGACCGGCTCACACATACGGCCTCGTATCGCTCGACGTGGAGCCATCGGGGAAGCGTGTTTTGTATAACAGTCTAGAGGGACTAACGTGCTTGTGGAATATCGACAGCGGGAGTCTGGAGGGCAAGTTTGAGAGTTATGTGAGGTCTGGATCAGAATCAAGCGAGCCATGTGAGTATATGCGATCGGATACTTTCATTTCACACTGAGATCTTGTGTAGCTTGGTCTGTATCTCTTAATCCAAGAGGTGCAACGTACGCCTCTACGGGTGGCACCGGAAATGTTACCATTCATTCAGCAGAGCCGGCTTCATTTGGCGAACGTCGTGCAACTCTCTCGAGCGGGCGCAATAAATTTGGCATGTACTGCAAATATGTGGGTCATTCATATCTGTAAGCCTCTGGGTCACTGCGAGGATGCTTGTGTTCTTGTCTCTATCTTTTTCCGCTGCGGCCTTGATGAGGTTCAGTCTGTACTCATGTTGCACAGGCCCCAGACGGAAGTAGGATAGCAATGTCTTCGGAGTCCGGCCAGATCTACATCTTCGATGCCGCTTCCTCGTCGCTACTGGTGACATATAGCTCGCACGCGATGGCCGTACGATCTTTGGCATGGTCCGCGGACTCCCAGGTATGTCGATTGAGTCTATTCGGGTATGGAGAAGCATGCGGCCTGAGATTTATGTATGCAGCTGCTTCTCTCTGCCTCTGAGGACAAGCGTCTGATTCTACACGACGTGCGAGCATCGCCGTCTGGAAAGCCCGGATCGGGAGCTGTTGCAACACTTGCGGGCCATTCCTCCTGGGTGCTGAGCACAGACATTTCACCAGACGGACGATTAGCGGTATCAGGGTGAGGCGTATGCTAATAGAATCCAAGTGTTCATTTACTATCAATCGCTATTATCAAGGTCCGCAGACAAAACTGTCAAAACATGGGATCTTGCCGCTCGCGCGGCTGTATCAACCATTCAAGATACTGGCGAAGTATGGAGTGTTGCGTGGCGTCCTCGACCGTCAGGACAAAATGCTGCTGGTGCGTTCGTGACCGGGGGTGAAGATGGAGTTGTGAGATGGTGGAGAGCTGCTGATTCAGGGTCGTAATATCATCTGTGATTGTCGCCGTCGACGCCTGTGCAGTCATATCTTGGTCATACTTTAGGAATGCACAAGTGATCGCTCAAGTTTTTCGTCCTGCATTGACGATGTAAATATCAGTAATTGCTGCAGTAGACATAGCCTCCGTTCGAATTATAGCCTCGGCCGGTGGAGATCAGCCAGTGTCTAAGTACGTCCCTCCATCCCTTAACTGGAGCTTAGTCTGGAACGGCGTTCCACTTCCACACGTGACGACTGGACTTCAGTTATGCAGCTTGAACTTCAAGTGCGTCAAAGTTCGTGACTAGTTCATTTCGAACAGTCTTCATACGCCTTGCGATAAATCTAATATAGGATGGCTGCTATTCCACTGTTTTATCGACTCTTCTTTCTGTATATCGAACCGCTGTCCGCTCTTGTAGGTTCATTCTATGCAGCAGGAAAACCAGCAGACTACCTCGCCTACCTCTCCTCGTCACCAATCACAGACATCACCTACACAGCCCCTCCCACACCCACCCTGATCTCACTATACCAGCTTTCAAACCTATACCTTCTCTTTGCACTCAACGAACATCTGGTCCTCTCGTCTACATCCAATCGACGCATATGGTGTCGACTCTTGTTTTGTCTGCTCATTGCTGATTTCGGGCATCTTGCTACAATGATCCCGCTCGCGCAGGAGAAGGGCTTTACTGCGGTATTTGTTGATTTCGCGCGGTGGACCGCGATGGAGTGGGGAAGCGTGGGTTTTGTGTATGCAGGCGCAGCCACGAGAATTTCTTTCCTCGTCAAGTTCTGGCTAAGGGGTGACAATGCAGGACTCAAGGAGGATTAAAGTAGCAGTAACTGTGAGCGGGCGCTGCACTGCAATAACCTCCGTTCTCATTCACAGGCTACTGTTCTACAGATGATCGCGGTCCTGACCTGACGGCTCTATCTTCCAACAACGCTACCATGGCTGTATCTTGTCTACCATGCAATGTTTTGTATCCGCTGATGTAGTCGTGCGAGGAGCAAGCTCTCATACTTTCGTAGTTGTGCCTGCAAACCCTAGGTTCCTTACAGCATCAAGGAATTACTTGCTATAGTCCTTAACCAGACAGGGCTCATTTTCCATCTAGTGAGAAGGTACTCGGCGACTGCATGGGGGAGCAGGGCTCGCACAGATCCACTGAGGGCTGAGGAGGACTCTTTGCGCTCATTTGCGTGTCTATATCTGAGATCTTTGTAAACATCAGGGACTAAGTGATGTGGCGATCGCGCTGGTAGACGTGTCGTCATACTGTATACAATATATAACATCAGAAGAACTAGCCCACCGCCAGAGACTTCCGGGAGATTTTACTAAAGGTGCGTTTGTAATGCAACACTTTTGAAGCTTGGCCTTCGCGCGTCTTAGGCTAACTACCACTGACACATCTCACCTGCTACACTGTTGCCTCCTCCTTCTCCCCTCGTCCTTCTGGGAAATTAGAATATTTTGGATCAAGGCGTACATTGCCTCGCTAACATCGGATGCCAGCCGCCTTGAAGTTTCGGCCCAATATCTCGAGTCGCTTTGGAGTCGTCGTTGAAGTGCAACCCTTGGAGCGGTGTAACCACGTGGAATTCAACATGCGGCCTGCCAACTATGCTAAGGACATTTAGTGCAACGAACCACATCATCGCACCTCTCGCCCCTCCGATGCTTTCTCAACAGGGTTGGACAGCCTTCTATTCATCTCGTCCCATATGGGCGGGCCACAACTTCACTTGTCGACTTCAACAGCGAGAGGTGAGTGCAACAGAATGGCCACGCAGTGCATGTCATCAAGGTACCTCACGGCAACTCAAGGTTACCTCAACACAACTCGAATATGCTCAGAAGCGGTTCTCCGTTCAATCTTGATACGGGAAACTTGCGATGCCTTCTTCCTGTAGAAGATTCACGCGCTGATCTATGCCCCCGTTACGGGCAGGCCGTTGAGTCTTACTATTCATAGCTGCCGGAGGATAATTGTATAGGTAAGCGCATGTTGGCTGCTCCGAGTAGATCCTATGGGTAACTTAAGTTTACACACCACACCTAGACCACCTACTTTTATGCGATCGTCCTTGTACTAGGATGAGCACATCATTCTGAAGGTCACGAAATCAGGATATGTCACTCCAGCAGGTGGAAATGATGTATCTTCAATCTAGGCAAGTGCGAACTGCTCAGCGGAGCTTTGACAGCTGAAAACAAAATAATCCACATGGCGTAATCTATCCAAGAAAGGAACATCTTCAGACTCCTACATCTATGGCAAGTCTCGGGGGCATACTCGACAATACATCACGTTGATATCAGCAGAGATGGTTCACACCTACTTTGCCAACAGGGATTGTCTCTCGGCGAGGGCCTTGCTAACAGACTCCCTTGATAGCATGGCATTATGCCACCTGCAGATATCTGTCAATCTGCAGCACCCATAATCAGATACTCAACACTCACTTGTAGACTGCTGGGAAATCCTTCTCAAAATCGAAGCCGCTATAATCCGCAACATGCATTTTAAGTGCTGCGTTGTTCCATCTGCAGAGCAATAAGCAAAGATACCATTTTCATATAGCGGCAATAGCTTGTGCACTCACGGAATGAATGAGAGGTCTGCGATGGTGCATTTTCCGCCAACGAGCCAGTCCTGCTTCGATAGAACACTTTCCAGTACACCGAAGACGCGTATAACTTCTTTCTGGTATCTTTCAATGGCACTAGGAAGCTTCTCGTGGTGGTAAAGTAGAAACCAGCCTGCTTGGCCGAAGTAAGGCCTAGAGATGACACGCTTGTGAGGCTCTTTCACGGTACACATTGTACCATACGCTTACCCCTGACCCGACGCTTGGAAGAATAGCCACTGAAGCTGAGCGACCTTCTCACCGGCATCAGCCATAGAGATCTTATGGGTCGTGTCATACTTCTCCACTAAGTATGTCAAAATTGCATTGGATTCCCTTGTATCGAATTGGTGAGTCCCCGCATGCTCGTCTGTCAGTAGTGCTCGACGACTCACCAAACAACGAAGTCATGATTGCTGTGGTCAACTAAAGTAGGAATTCTGCCGTTCGGGTTGTACTTCAGATGCTCGGGGGACTTCTGCTCGTTTTTGCTAAATTCAAAGTAAATCGTCTCATATTGCAGACCCAACTCGTTCAACACGAAAGCGACTTTCCTATAGAGCAGCTCAGTAAACATAGAATGGAATATGCAAGCTACTTACCAGCCGTTGGGTCCACCAACATGGGAGTACAACGTAAATGGCTTTCCGTGGGACATTGGGTTTTCTAGTTTATGCCCGGATGAACAAGAGTGCGAGTTAGAGGGTGAGTGGGCTGGCGATGTCTGGTAGCTGAGGGGTCTTTTTATAGGGACACGAAAAGAGCGCACCGGGTTGTTTGACATTGGCAACATGAGCCGCTCGCTGCTATGTCAGCAGATAGAGCAGGTGGAGTTGTCAAGCTGTTGTGCTTACAGAGCAGAACTCGCTTGTCGCTCGTATGTGCACATCGTCGTCGGCACCGACTGATGTGGAAACGTAACAGAACCCATGCCCGAGTGATACGGTCAGGGACTCATCGTAGCTAGTGAAGCGCAAAATCAGTCGCAGGCGCCGCACACGACAGCCAACCCAATGCCGATATTTGATACTGGTAAGGGTGCCATACTTGAGCCAAACATATCTCCCCATTCTCTGAATGCAGCTATGTGCGCCCCCTCGGGCATTAAGCACTGTCAGGTCAACTTGGAGCTAACAATATGCAATATTCACTACGCCACGCCTCTGCAACTCTAAATGAAGAACACGATCGTCGCACAATCTGCGACATAGACAGCTGTTCCGAGATTAGCCAAGTTGCAGGCTAACTCGCGCACGCGGAACAGTACCAGTTGTCCGGCGTCCCCACACGGCTACAATTGTAGGTGGTCTGCGTCGCCGCAGCCGTAGCATTTCCCCAACTGCTTCCGCTCCCGAGCATGCTCACTCAGCCTGCGACGACGCCCTTCAGCCCGGTCTTCGCGCCACAACTACCGCCCCCATGCCGCTGGTGCAGCCGCTCTAGTGACAGCCACGCTTGCGCACGCCACCACCGCCGACGCCTGTGCCCGCACCGTGCGGGCTAGGGCCACATAAGCCAGAATCAGAGACGGACACAGCTTTTGCGCGTCCGCCCCTCGTGCTCGCATTCGACGTACTCTTACGCTCGCGCGATGCGTCCCAAGAGCCTCTCGGTGCGCCAGCAGACGGGATGAAGCTCGATGCAAACGTGCTAGATGGGCTGATGTCGCCAGACAAGATAGGGAACGAGTTGATGGTATGACCGGGGCAATGAATGGCACCCACAACGTCCGGCGTCCGCTGGCTGGGGACTATTTGTGCTCCGCCAGCAAGCACTGACAACCCTACCTGGCCCCAGCGTCCCGTGTTCATCCACGAACGTATCATACATGCCTTCCGTCTATCTCATCTTAGCTCATTTCCGCTGTGACCGTCATACTCTTATCTCCCGCAGCTGGATGTCTTGCCCATACCCTGTTTCCTCAGTCCGTGCTCTCGCGCAGACCTTCGTGCTGTCATCGCCGTATCAGTTATATGAGGGGCCGATCGTGCTTTTACGACCGTCACGCCACAGGTCCACGTCTGGTTACATGCGGTTTTGGTTTCGTTATGTTGCTCGGCCCATCTTACTTGTTCCGATTGCATTTTCAGGGGCCTCTGCTATCTCCACGTCCTCGGGAATAGTTTGCACTTCTTGTGTACTAGACGACTTGCGAATGTATAACGATACTCCTGCTCAGTTCCAACGGTCGTCTTACAACGATCTGCATGATAGTGTAGATGGGGGAACGATATCGCCCGGTAAAAACGGGTTCTGAAGGCTAAAACCACAGCTGAACACCTACAATAAGGATCCTCTGTTGATATGCACTGCGCATCATGACTACATTCCCAGATGGCTATATAGTTACACTGTCGCCAGCGAGCCTGGGCATGTTCAATGAAGAGTCGTACGTGTCTTGGATCGTTTCCAGGACAACGGGATTATAAAAAAGCATGTCCAACACAAAAATTTAGACCAAACACGATATAGACTCACCGAAACGACAGTTAAACCTCGCCGCAATGTTTGACGAATCCAACACAAGGCCGACTGAGCCGCGATGGTATCGCTGCTAGGTTACACAGGGGGGTGACTGTGTCTGCAATGGGTGCTGAATGAGCGTGTCCGGTCAGCTGCGACCCCGCAGAGTGTGGACCGTATCTCGCCTGTTGTGCATCCATTGTCCGCGGTTTTCTCGTCACGCACTCTACGTAGGTCATTCGGTCGATGCGTGTGATGCAGGCTGTCCCAAACCTTGCGTGCGCGAAGGAGTACTTCATACCTGCTAATGTATATACGAGAAGTTCGCGTTTGGCTAGCATGTACCCTAGCTATACCTAAGGATATAGTGAGAAGCATGGAGGATCGTGAATAACGGCGTTCGTCGACTACTTAAGGCAAGAGGCGTTGCATCGATTCCATAGATGATCTCTGCAGAGCCCGGCCTGTTTAAATGCGTCTGCTTTTGAAGCAAATATTCGAAATGATATCTAGACTGCCGGTGCCGAGAGCTCAAGAGCTAAGAAAAGCGCGAGATACATGAAAACCGTGACCTCCGCGGGCGCCTTGAAGACTGGAAAAGCGATAGACAACGCAGAATCAGCACTCAATGCCATCAGTAGTTTCGTTGCACCCCTCAAGTCTCTACAAGCGTTTAGCTTGATAGTAAACGAGCTTGCCAACGTACGATTAATTGTTCTCTGCGATCATGTTCAGAATAAATAGTGAAGCGATCGTACTTATCATGCTATCACAAGCGCGTTGCTCCGTCGTTTGCTCCTCCCACTTGCTAATACTCCGGCAGTCCACCGCTATAGCAGTTGCATGCGGGAATAGGACTTTATTATCCAGGCGTGATCACTCCGCCACTGTGATAGGTATGAGGAGGAGTAGCTGCTCTACCGTGACGGTTTTGGACCACGAGTACGAGACACTGCGTGTTTCGTACTCGCTGTTGTTCTATCGTTAGTGTTTGGTTTTTCTGTAGCTACTTATGCATTATGTAGATGAGAGCTCCGAAGCGCCCGACCGCAGGTCGGACGTTGCCGTTGCTGCTGTCCACTAGATACACCGTTACTCGAAATCAGCGATGAAGCAACCGTGTGTAAGCACGGGTATACTAGAAGTTACGTTATAAGTGTGCTTTGAGTGCGGAATGTCCTAGCTTGATCATCCAGCATCGACTACCCCGCTTGCTTTAGTCTTCGTGTGGGACCTCGTTCCTGAATATGAATGTTCTGAACTCCCTGGATCGAATCAAGACCACCACCTTCATGTGCATTTACTCCGAGACTGATCATTGATGAGCCAAAGCAGGCAGAGTGCGACAGAACTTAGTGTATAGAATCTGATATTATTCAATAAACTAGTGCTTGAATCTATCATGATGCTATCCAAGTCTTGTTGATATCAAGCCGCATACGTCGAGGCTCAGCTTCTGTGATGATAATCAACGTGTTGTGGTTAACTCTTCAATGGAGAATGAACACTTGGACCACATTTTCTGGATCTTGTGTTGCTGGGATGGTGATGCATAGATGCGTAATCTATGCAAGCGAGTCATATCATCCCTGTGCATCCCACACTGGTCTTGAGGCGACATATTCTGGATTGACGCGCTAGCGGAGATGGATTGTCAAATTGAGTACTGAGAGGCTATGCATTATTGTCCCGGGAGTAAAATTACAGAAAAAATGCTATCACATCCACAGTCCGAGAAGAAATCAGCCAGCCCCTGCAATGCATCTTGCAAGTGCTCTTTATCCCCTAAAATTTTCTTGACATCGTTGCTGCAAGTTGATGCCAAGTCTTGCGATTGATTGTTAGCGTCATGTCGTTTTTGGTCTTCAGTCGGGAAACCCCACAGGTACGTACCGTCTATTGATTGAAATAACGGGCATTGCCAGCCACTGCGCAATTTTATTTAACAGACGACAGAAGGTATACGCCACGTACAACATCTCGCTCACTGGCCCATATGGAGTCTGCTAGCCCTAACTGCAGTTCGCTGCCCAATGCATTCAACGAGCTATCTTACTTAACCCCGTCTCTAGCACCTGAGTTTCAGCTTGGACGGTACATTCTTGCTGGCTCATTGGGCGTACGTGTTTATCGTGTTGTGGGTATAGATGCCGTACGTTGATTATAATTCATCGAAGGCTATGACCTGGGAGTTGTTGTCAAACCTTTCCAACGATTATCGGCTACTGTTTAAGCATAGACTCGGCTTTCCGACGCTGGTCTACTACATCTCTAGGTGCGTCCTCAGGTGATATCTAGATGAAGGCTTGGATCAAACGTGCACTTAGGCTCTCGACCTTTACATACGCTCTTGTGAGCGTTGTTCTTCAGAGTATGAGTCATGTTGTCTCGATGATATGTTACTGAATCACGGTGTTTACAGCTGCATCGGTCGGCCATTGTCAGGCAATACAGTATATCGATACCATCTTTATGGCTTTATCTGTCTCCACAACTAGCCTCCTCTTCTACTTTCGGATGTCCGCTGTTTACCACAGTAATAAGTATATGATGGGTGCTTACACGATTGTGTGGCTAGGTGTTGTCGCTGGAAGCATGATGCTCATACCTTCCGCGACGGGTGGCGCTATTGGCCCCACAAATTTCTGCATAACGAAGGCGATGGAGATGTATGCCGGTGCAATTGGTGTTTCAGTTCTCCTACACGACACATTCGTTTTCATCGCGATCTCGTGGCGGCTTGTGTTGAATAGCTACCACGAAGTATCCGACTGGAGACGAGTACGGGCATTCCTATACGGTGAATCCCTTCAACCGATCTCAAAAACGTTGTTACGGGATGGCCAATTATACTATGCGTACGTTTTGAATCCATGATCGTAGCTTAAATCTGATCATAATCCCATTTCGATAGGGCAAAAATTGGGTGTAACCTGGTCATCGTTATTTTATTCTACATCACGACACTCTCACTTGCCTACAGGACTT